GCAGGGCTTTATTTACAAATATGTGGGGAATATGGAGAAAAGTCCCTCTCCTACTTTTAGCCAGAGTTGTACCCTGCTTAAAATCCGCAAGAAGCCGGAGAGCAGCCCTTTTTCTTTTTCCTAGAAGATCTCCAAGATTAAAGCTAGTCCTAAGAGCAACCGAATCGCTATGACTGACTTTCACGGGACTGTAAAGAGAGGTGAGTAAAAAAGCCCTTAGTATGTAGATCTCTTTCAAGCAGTGGTTAAGTCGATTCATTTCGCAGGGAAAAAGCAAATCTTCTTGTGCAGTATTTTATACTCTGTCGTATAAATCGGTAACGTAATTCAAGATATTCATGATAATGAATGCTTGGCTAATCCTTTGGGTGCGCGGAGACCTACAGAGCAGTAGGTTATGCAAATCCTTTCCTACTTCTATGGCTGTAGTTTTTTAACAGATTTTTTTTAAAGAAATCTAGTAATCTGTGAATGGTATTAGGGTCCCGTGCCCCCCCAACCCTCAAGGTGCCAGATTTCTAAACTTGCGTGGAATCATTTGGTCGTGATACAGCACATAGGGTCAGCTTAGAGGACGTGCTTTATATATTTGTAGCTTACAAACTAGTTTTTTAACTGAGGCAGTGGAAACCCGAAGCCTTGCCTCTTGAGATACACAATTGTGTCTTATTTCAGATAGTTTCGGTATCACCAAAGAAGAGCTCTTTCCGTCTAACGTGGCCATACAAAAGTAATCCAGCTTCACCGATGGCTACATGTATTTCTTCAGACTTCAAGCTGTGGGAGAAGTTAATCAGTTTTCTTCTCAAAAATAAGTTTTTAGGTGGCTTGTCTCCCATAGAGGATCTGATTTTTTATTTTTTTTTTTTTCCCCTCCCCCCACAATTCTGTTTTCCACAGAAGTCCCTGTATATCGCGGTTCTCTTGACCAAGAATTTGTTAGAAAGCCATCTAAAATCAAAGCTGGAGGAAAAAAAAAAAAAAAAAAAAGAAAAAAAAAGAAAAAGCAGCTAAAGGTTTTTGCAGTGTTTAATGCTGCTCCTTTCACTTGATTTTTTTTTTCGCCCCCACTCCTCTCCTAAACTAATTAACCCCCTGCGTTGGCTCGCCATGCTGTGCATGTGTGTAATCTGGGACAGGGACCAACTTAAAAAAAATATTTTAACTTGATAGAAAGTGAAGTTTCATATGCTAAATGAAGGGCTTTCATGTTCCCCCTGTGTCTTTTTTCCCTGTGAAAAGAGTTGAAGCCTGTTTCGTCTTCACTGTCCCAGTGGATTAAAGCACACAGAGAACATGGTTTATAAAGCGCTACAGTTTAGCCATTAAAAAGGAATATCAATTTAGCTCCCTTAAGTGAAAGTACTCAGCTATTAACAAAGATGCTGTTGGTAACTCGTAGGAGAATGGGATACGTGCGTACAGGGGGCGGGGGGCTTCCACATTCTTAGGTCATTTTTTATTTACCTCTCTCCCGGTCTGGTGACATATTTCTTTTAAAACACAGCAATTCGGGAAAATTAAATTGTCTAATTTCGATTTCTCGTGTATCACTTTCGTAGTGAAGACTGTTTCCAGGAAAAGTGTGAGAGACAAGTTGGTGTGGCGGGTGCGTGTGTGTTTGGGTCCCCCCCCTCCCCTCCCCTTT